TTGCAGAAAAGAATGGAAATGAAGACTTATATAACTCTTAGATAAATTAAATATATTTGATTTAATAAAATCGTTTTCTCCTAGTTTATTTTACAGACAGTGCCACATAAGTGCATTTGCTATTTATTAGCTAATGCTTCATTGCTTCATTCCAAGAGATTACGTACTAATTTTTATAAATTAAAGTTGTGAAAAATAATTATAAAACATGTGTAGCTTTTTTTGCTGCTATGGGACTCAAAGAGTTAATTAGTTTTTTATTATGCTTGTTTATACTGAATTTTGTATTAGACGAGTGCGGCACTGATCAGTACCACGTTGACATGCCAAAACGATGCAGTATTGCCTCGGCAATTCTCTGATGAGAAGGAAAATATGAAGTCTTCGAAATATTAGAAGTGTACTGTGGTGTTCATATATAATAGACAGAAATTGACAAAACAAAATGTGATTGAAAACAAAACTTCGGCACTGGTGCGCACAGGTGCGAGATTTTTATATTCTTTCTGACACGGGTGCCCAGAAAAAAAATTATGCGACACCGTTGCGCATCCGTGTATAACCAGTACCGATAAAATATTTTTTTGAAGGATAGTTATTGAAAACCAGTCAGAATAATGAGAGGAAAAACATCCTCGTGATTGACAGGAGGCCGTTCACGAAAAAGCGACGACATCTCTCTCAGGACTACAGAAAAACTGTGCTTAGCTTTTTTTCTTTCTGCAACAGTGGATGTTTCAGCCATCTCTTTGAATATTTTCTCTCTCGTTGTTAAAAAGATTTTTCTATTTTTCTCTCTTTTGATTGGCTTATCCTTATCCATGTAATATCTGACACCCATTTTTCCGGATTTTGTGCGCATACGGACATACAGACAACCTTTTTGTAAGACCCTAGACAAAAGTCAAGAGAATAATTTCTATCATGATCAGTTTTTGCAAAAAGATTTATATTGATTTAACGCTAATCGGAAATTCCCTATATTTATTTGGAAAAAATAAAAGAAATTACTTCTAGTTCACTACTTTTCTAGTTTAAAGAAGAAAGACGGTAGCGGAAAATGCTCAAAACTAGGTATTCATAAAGGTCAATCTGTAAACGCTACAATCGTCGTAAAATTTTCAAATTCCACGTTGATAGTGGAGATTTATGGATAAAATTTATGGATGCCTTGTTTTAACCGCGGAAAGTACGAAAGAAAGTAATCAATAATTGATGAATCGATGTCCTATCGTTTGGATTAGACGCACTTAGTACTTGTAAATACAAACACTGATTGAAAGCAAAGTGTACTCGTACATTTTATTTCAGAAGCCGGTAGAAGATCGTTTCAATTCGACTAATTCAATTCAAGCCGAACAATTAAAAGGAGCAAAACACTGAGAAAGATATCGTAGATGACTGGACTGATAAAAAAAATTAACAAAACTAGTTATATGTTTAGTCGTATGTTCAAATTAGAAAGCTTTAACGGGTTCAACAGAAGATTATCATCTTGATCACTCAGTGCAGACACGGGATGATGTCATCATCTTCTCTAACGAACACAACAAAGGACATCTCACATATAATATGCTTCATGCCACCGGTCTGTCTGATGACCAAAGATCAGCTCGTTTTCTTTCCTTCCACTGATGACTCTATATTTCGGAATCTGTTGTATTGTCGAGAAAAGAAGGTCATTAATTATTCATGCTTTTTCATTTTTCTCGTTTGAACAAAAGGTAGTATATTCGAGGACTGAAGCAGAAGGAAGTCTGAAGCCTGGTTATCAGAAAAACTTAAATTTTGCTTAAGTAGAAAATTTGACTTCACTAAGATTTTTGTGCTAAGTGAGTTTATCGAAAGCATCTTAACTTCAATGGCCTCTCGACCATCCTTAAATTTTCACTTATTTTTTAAGTGACGAATTATTTATAATTTGTACCTTCTTTATACTACATGTTTTCGTAGTTAGAGCCACAATAATTCGATAGAAAATAATTTTGTTTAAAAAATTTCATCAAAATAATCATAATAATAATAAGTTTGTTAAAATATAAGTGGTTTTTACTGCATGACCTCTGTTTAACTTAAGTTTTTTTGAGAAACAGGCTCCTGGCGACAAACCTGTTATTCATCATTTATAACCTATAGGAAGAAACAATATAAAACCATGTACGAGGGTTGTCAACCGGTCCGCTTCTTTTTGGACATGGTCCGCTTTTTGGACTTTTGTCCACAAAGTGTCTGCTATCGGCTTTTGATCCGTTTTTCAGTCATTTTAAAAAATCGTATTTAAACAGTACTGTACTTTGTTTTTTAGTCAAAATATCTTCGCGATGACTCATCCGAAGAAGTTCTTGTCCTGTTTAACTTTGAATAGATGGTAGCGATCTTAACAGCAACAGCTGTTAAGGTCGCTGAAATTATACTTTTTCACTGATTGTATATCTATCGGTGAAAAAGTATAATTTTAAAAGACAACGTGTAGGATAAACATCTATACTTTTTTTTTAATGTTATAAAAAATTAATTTGTTTTGTACTGCTATGTGAATTTTTTTCTCTCTTGTGTGAAAAAATGGGTGTGACTAGCAAAAGAAACAAAATACACTTGAAATATAAAAAAATATTATCCACTTTTACAAAACGATTTTCCGCTTTTTAGACCTTTAGAGATAGCATCCCTGGTCGCTATCTCATTTTTTAAAAAAATTTTCTTCGGACATAGTGATTCAGTTTTCTAATATTCTTTTATATTAAACTTTTTTCATTGCTGAATACGTTCTGAGCTAGATTCTTTGCTCTTCTATCTAGCTTCAAAAGTAAATTTCTGGCGAACAAGCAACGAACGACTGCAAGTGTTAGTCTCTCTCTTTCTGTTATCGTTAAGGTCCGTTCGACTGCATTGACAGTTGAGTATAATTTGTTCTGTTTTTTTGTTTTACTTGTTCTCTCTTTTCATCTACTAATGTAGGATACAAATGAATCCATCAGCAAAAAAACTAACAGGCGAGCCTTGCTTAATAACCTTTGTTGTTCTTTGCTGTTTTTCTTTTTCTATTATTTACTATATTTTCTTGCAATACAAAAGAAAATATAAAATGGAGCCTATCCCAATCTTTTTTGCAGTTTTGGGAATATGACAAGTGTCAATTACAATAAAGAAAAAGTTGTATGGCTACTTCATACAAGAAGACTATTGACAAGTGCTAAATAGTCTGTTTTGTATGATGAATCATTTATTCTAGATAATTGATTTCTCTATCAGTATAATAAAATTAATTCTCTATGCCCGGGATGGGTTGTTGTATATCGACTGATGATCCATCGAGAAGAGTTACGCGGATGATAGATGAAGATATTGAACGTGAACGAAAAGAATACAATAATACAAGTAAACTTTTATTATTAGGTAAGAAAAATAAACAATTTTTTCGAGACCAAAGAAGTTGATTCTTTCGCACACAGTAGCTAAGTATTAAGTAGAACAGACGATAGCTAATGTGTATATGTTATTTCAGTTAAATTGGTCTATTACAATTACAAAACGTATGTGAACTTGATAGACTCAACAATAACTATTATTGCTTTGCTTATCTCGGTATTGCACAATTAGATACAAATCAGGAGCGTAGTCAGAAATGTTTCAAGAGAGTGGTGTAGTCTCACTAGTCACAAATTTTTTTTCTCTTTGATATCTTTCGTTTGAGAGGAGACCGATCTCCTCCCATAATCCTGACTACTCTCCTGATACAAATTTACACATGAAGTTCTTTTGTGCTTGATGTTCGTAGTCGAAATTGTTTTACACTCGAAATTTATAAATAATTTCTACAAAGTTCTCTTTCTGTATATGTGATTTCGGGTCATCTCTCGCTCTCATTTTAATTTTGAAAAGAGAAATTATAGACATATCAAGTTCAACTGTACGGTCTATTTATGAAAATTACCATTCAACTCTGCCTTCTACTTAGCTGCAGTGAGTACACAGTAGATGGAAAACATGTTTCTTTTGTATGTCCTGTACATAGAGCTTTTTGTTGTGGCTACTGTAACAGTGTAACCTAGAACGCAGAAGATTTTATATGGGAACATTAAAACACGTTTAAGTAGATGAATTATTGGTCTATCCAGAGGTACAAAATCTACATGAAAAACGTTTCCCAACACATAGTAGCGCCAGAACATTATTTTCTATAGTTATTTTACAATAAAAATGCTATTTTTTCCCGACAAAACTGGTATATTCTACACCTTTGGATGGATTAATTACTTTTCATCTACAACTTAAATTTAGTGTTTAGTACTGCAAACAGATTATTTCACTTTTTTAATTAATTTTAAAATATCTGTCTGCCATTTATACATTATTTTGCATTAAAATTGCCATATTACAGTGAATGCTGTGTTATACTTATTCTAAGACGAAATCTGTAAATTTCAATTGATGCTGCTCATATTGTATTCTCTTTTTCTTTCCTTTTAAAGGTGCTGGTGAATCGGGCAAATCTACCATTGTGAAGCAAATGAAGTAAGAATATAGATTTTATTTAAAAATTTAATCGAAACTAATTGTTTCTTTATGTTATGTTTATTCTTAGAATTATTCATGACAATGGTTATACACCAGATGAATGTTTACGTTATCGATCAATAGTTTTTTCTAATACCGTCCAATCAATTTTGGCAATCATTCGTGCTATGGAACAGTTACAAATTTCATTCGAAAATCCAGACAGACTGGTATGTATGTTTAGTGTCGAGTAATTGAGGGCTGGGAGGTGGTCAGAAATTTGTCTCGACATCTGCCAGCTTACATATAAGGCTACAGCTCTCATTTTAGTTTATTATACTTTCGTACTTTTATATGTCACCCTTTTAGTTACTTAAGTCTTCTACTGCCTTTACTTTTCTATGCAATTGATGACTCTTTAGAATGGAAATACTTTTCGTGCTCACTCGCATCCCCAGCTCACTCTCCTATGTATAGTCAAAATGTTATTGACTACGATTTGTATCTTACAAAGCGACTAAAGGAAGTAAAAGACTAAAAGGATTAAAATAAATAAAAAAGCTAAAAGATATATTCAATCATCCATCAGTATAACTTTTTCATTGCTAAAAATATCTTGGGACAAACTTTTTACCTTCTCCGATCTCTGAAATAAATTGTTCAATCATATCATTACTGCAGAAGCTTTTATTTATAGAAAGATGTTGAACTTGTTGTACAACAATCTAATATTGTTGAAACATGTGATTCAATACCAGAAGAATTGGCATCAGCTATGAAAATGTTATGGATTGATCAAGGTTTACAAACTTGTTTTCATCGTTCAAGAGAATATCAGTTGAATGATTCTGCTGCATAGTACGTTAAATTACTAATCCATTTAAAAACAAAATTTAGGTCTTATTAAAAAATGTCTCTGTCATGAAGGATATGCTACGTCTAATCTACGTTTGACTAACAGTTTACTAAAAGACATTAATTTATATAAATCTTTATTTTTGTTTTTTTTTAAGTTATTTAAATGATCTTGAACGACTATCTCAATCTGATTATAAGCCCACACAACAAGATGTTTTACGTACACGTGTAAAAACCACTGGCATAGTTGAAACATCGTTTGAACTAAAAAAGCATCGATTCAGGTAATTTCTAAACTTTCTATATACTTGTATTGTATCGTTATTTATGTTTTTGAAGAATTGTTGATGTTGGTGGACAACGAAATGAACGAAAAAAATGGATACATTGTTTCGAAGGAGTGACAGCAGTTATTTTTTGGTACATAAATCACATTTTTCGCTATTCGTCAATTTCATGTTTTTTTTGCAAAATTTTCAGTGTCGCATTGAGTGAATATGATTTAACGTTGGCTGAAGATGGAACTGTGGTAAATTAGCCTCACAGAATGCAACCAGTAGGCATATCACTAGAATGTATTTTTTTTTGCTTAGAATCGAATGGTGGAGAGTCTTCAATTATTTAAATCAATTGTGAATAATCGTTGGTTTAAACAGGCTGGAATGATTTTATTTTTAAATAAAAAGGATTTATATGCTGAAAAATTAAGGTTTTCTCCTTTGACAGTGTGCTTTCCTGAATACACGGGTATGTAATCACATTGTTTCTTTTTTTTTTACGATATTCAATATGTATTTTCTTTCTAGGGCCTAATACTTATGAGCAAACGATTGCTTATATTCAAGAACAATTTGAAAGACAAGATCGACGAGAAAAAATCAATGGACATTCACGAGAAATCTATACACATATTACATGTGCAACAGGTACGCTAGTTCTTTCCTCATAATTCTTTCTGGTAAAGATGATTTTTTTCTTTTTACAGATACTGAAGCAATGTCGTTTGTATTTGCTGCTATATCAGATATGATAATTCAGATGAATTTAGTAGCAGCAGGAATATTCTAAATGATTTTTATCGTTACTGGACATTTTTTTATATTATTCTTGTTTGTATATTTTGTTAACTTTTCTAAATTTAAATTCTTTGCTCAGCACAAGAATGTAAACGGCAATGATAATCGTTAATGTTGTTGTTTTTACTATAGTTATTTATTTTTTTTCTCTTTTTTGATGAATATTTTCTTTTTGTTACAAATTTATCAATTGCAGTGCTTCTTTCTTAAACTTTTGTTATCTGTTTGTTTTTTAATCAATAGAATAAAAGATAGTTTTTTTTCTGGATTACAAGTGCAAATAAGAAATGCATCTTTTTTTCTCATATGGCTGAATGTGATAGGGCTTCATCTGGCGCCATAGATTCCAATTTTTCAATTGCATTGTTCAATGAAGACATCCTCTACTTGGTACTAATACATGTATTTCAGCTAGGACTATCATTTTCACTTTATCAGGGATGTTCCTTACTTGGTGAAGGGAAAGTTTTTTTCAGTATTCGATCCAAAGCTCTTTTTCCATTGCAAAACTAGAAAAAATTTTTATTGAATAAAAGCTAACATGAAACTGGCATTGAGCAAAAAACTTCGGAAAGGGGACGAAAAGTAATAAGTCTAGTTGCAGTTCTCCTATGTGACAATTGATGAAACAAAAAACGGTGGTAAAAGTTGTTTGGTCGTATACATTCGCGGTGGAGTACTTCCTGAGTGTTTTAAATTTTTTGTAAATACCACTGAATGGCGTTTTTTTCGTTGATTCTGATTTCATAATTTACTTTTCACATATTCCATTCTAATCATTCATCGTTGTTGTTTTTTTTCACTTATTAAGAGCTATTGCACGAGTGCTACATACATTCTAAGAAAAAGCCGCTCAATTTAACTTTTGTCGGATTTATATCCGACTTTTGAGCTGAAACTTGTACTGTAGTTCTTGTACTGTAGTTCTTAGGATACCGTCATTTACTCAGAAAATAATTTATTCTCTGTAGGACTATTATTCATTATAGGTATATGAATCCAAATATGTGAATCCCCGCTTTTAAACACAGTTTGATGATTACTGTAATTTTTTACTTTTGTTTGATAAAAATAAAAAAAGTTAAAGAGATAAAACAACTTGAACAATATAGAAAAAAACCTGGGATATCTCAAATCATGGATAAAAGAAAAGTATCACTTGTACAGAAAAGAAAACGCTAAAATGTATTGCATAACTATTAATAATTTTTGCAAATAAAAAGTATGAATCGTGTGTGCTGATGCTTCTCCGTTAAAGCTCTTGATTTATGAAAATAAACGGCAAACGAACATACCATTGAACCTCTCAAGTGTCTGCATGAAACATACCATGGAATGTTAACGGGAAAACAGCAATTCACAAAGTGACTTCACTTTTCCCAAAAACTATCCAACTAATATTTTTAAAATGTTCATTTTATCCAATACATATGACGTTAGCTACTATATAATTTATATATTTTCGTTAAGAACTAACTCATTTTGTTGTCTCTTCCATTTTTCGGTGTGATTGTTTTGCGATGAAATCTTTTACAGTTGGGTTTTTTTGTAAAAATCTGTCTAATGTCAAAGGTAGTGCATCGTGATAATAAACAGCAAAATGAATACCCTGAAAGAACGATTAAAGTTAGTCTAACAATATTCTCAATCGGGAAATCAGTGTCTTCATTTCCAGTACACACTTAAAAGAAAAATTTCACCTGTTCACTTGCGGCGCGCACAAATCCTCGATTTGCTGTCATTGTTATTGCTTTTATAGTATCACCACTTCCAAAAATTACTTTTGTTCTAAAACAGAGAAGTATATATTGAATGAAATGGCAAACAAGATCTGGGCTGTTTGATGGTATTACTTAGGTTTTATTTTAACACTCTCTTGTAATGCCATGGCACGTTCAGATGGACAATCGGGCATAAGAGTCATCTAAATACAATAAAAACATCTTAATCGAAAGAAAAGGGTGTTTTGACGGATAAAACGAACATTTTCTAGCAATTCTTTAGCACGTATCTTCTCATTTTCGCCTCCTATTGATTGTATAATATCATTAAATTCGTCATAGGCTGTTTGACATACGTATAATTCTTTTCCTGAAACACATAAATATTGTTGACTTACTCATTCGTGAATTTCTCTAAACAATACCTTTCATGTAATCTTCTAATAATGGTAATAAAAGCTGACATCGTTCTAATTCAGCAGGTACTTCTAACCAATAACTTTGACACTTATGTATATGACTATCAGCTGTCAATTCCGACGCCAAAGATATCAATGTACTAACATCAAGATTGAGTTTTATTGTAGATGTTTCGTTCAATTGAAGTGTAGATGATGATGAATTTAAATCAACAATAGGATCGATAATTTCTTCTTCTTCTACTTCATGTTCTTGTTCATCGTCACTACAGTCGTCATCCATCATTTGTAATCTTCTTTCAATTTCATCACTTACATCCACTATTGATCCCTAAAATTTATTTTATGATTTCAATTCAAATTTTGAATTTATTTTCTTACTTTAATTGTGATGCCATTATTTGTTAAGAACTCTGCTAATGGCACTGTTACACCCTGAACAAAATAAAAGATAATTTCCGGTATTTTATAGTTAATCGGATTGTCTTTTGCCGTTTCAAGATACTGTTTCATGGGACTAATAATACTTCGCATACCGTAAAGACCATTGCCTTAAAAAAGAAATAAGACTTGATCATGCATACATTTGAGTCTTTACAACAGCTTACCACGCCAGATGAGATGTAACGCTTGAGCATTGCGTGAAATGACTTTCATCCATGATCGAGATTCATTGTACAAAATATCACATATAAGGAGTTGATTTTTACGATTTTTAAATGGCACTAAAATCTATTGACATTTATATAGACATGCTAGTCTATTCAAGAACAACTAAAATAAAAATACTTACACCATCAACTTCATTAATTCCAATTTCTTCAACTTGTTCAATAATTGATTTTAAATGTGTCAAATTTGAACTTCTCATGTAATTTTCATTTACAACACGTCTTCCATCACGAAGCTAAACAATGAAAATATATATTCATGATTTTAAATTATAATTATTTGTATACGTACAGATTTGAGAAATTTTTTTTCAGCTTGAAATTTTCGTTCTAATTTTGGCATTCCAGGTACTGACTGAAATGTCTGACATTTATCTATACAAGTATGAACTTCAGAAATAAATTTGTCTAACTGAATACTAATCGTATCGTTATTACTATCAACCATCTAAAATAAAGAGAAATCATACATATTTTCATCGTCCCAAAGAATTAAGAAAGATAACATGAATTCGAATGTGTTTAATCAAATTTTGTTTTTAAATAAACAGAGAGTGTAACAAAATTATAATATAAACATATTTGTGGTTTGTCTGGGTATTTTTCATTTCGCTATTAATTTTTCTAATATTCCATTGACTGTTAAGGAATTAATCACCAATAAGGTGTATGCCGTATAACTCAACTGAATAAAAAATTATATCTTTCGACTGGCTGCAGAGTTGTAATTGTTAAGAATGAATGGCAAGCCTTTTTATTCCGTTCTGATGAGACTTTGTTCCGTTCTGAAACAACTGGCAGAAAGACCGTTCTAAAGAAAGTTTTTATATTCTTGAAATACTTTGAACAAAATCAGTCTCTCATCATCAAAAACGTGTTCAGGGTTCGGCTACTTCGTTCGTCTGAACATTTTTAACAAATTCGAATACTCGAGCATGTTCACAACATCTCAGCTTTGATTGTAGCTGTGTTCAAATATCTCGAAGTTTTTCGTTGGGTATCACACGAGCAAAAACGGAAGTAGAATGAGATAAAAATTATTGGAATATCCAGAAAAGGCCGTTTTCACAGATAAAATTTAGAGCGGGCGCTAGAACGATTATCCTGACAGCGATAAAAAAGAACAAGAAACAATCGGTCGAACGATCGTTCCGTTCCGGTAAAAGACTTTTAGAACAGTCCCTGTAAAAAAAAGTTTTTATTGGCGTTTGTTGTGTACAGGTATGTACCAGTGCCAAAGGATTCTTTTTGATGCCAGTGTGTATCCGTGCTAGCATAAAATATGCTTTATGTGCACTTATTTGTTTGGCACTAATGTCAATCAATGACCTATGATGCCATTGGAAGTGCCGCACTGAAAATTTTTTTGTAGGATACTGTCATTGTTCTGAGAGTTTTTGAACGATTACATCTATGACTGGCTTTACAACGAAATATTCATCGTTCTCGAGCCTTTTTTGAGAGTCAGATAGGAGATTTAATCAGGCACAATATCTCGAAACAAAAAACCAGGTAGTGTACATTCTGATCTAAAATTTCAGTGCAGTGTGTATAGAGTGTTCGAAATTCTCTCATATAATATAAACACTTCAAATATTCAGATGGTACAGAGGCGGCTCACTTTATTTCAAAAATAATCTCAATATTAGGACAAGTATAATATGATACATTTAACTAAGCATTCATCATCTGAGCACTTTAAAAATAAACACTTTTTTTTATAGTGAGGAAAAACTCTTATCCAATTTTAGTTCATATGACAATTTATTCATTCGCAAATAAGTAATATTGAGTTTTTTAGAAAACTGAAGTTTAGCTTAATCATCATATGCAAAAAAATGCAGAATAAGAAAAATTTTCTGAATTCACCTGTACTCTTGTTTGCGTGATATTCAAAATATACTTTGTACGTGTGATAAACGCGTGTTAAAAAAAAGAACAATAATAATCATGACAATAATTTTTAAAAGTATTTGTACTATAAATTTTGAAGAAACCAATATTGTCATTACAGAATCAAAATGCCTTCAACAAACGATCATTATGATGAAGAGAAAACAGTCTACATCATTCATGAAAATGATTTATGGATACCTCCATTTTGCGAAGCGTTTGATCAATTGGGTTTAAAGTACGTAGAATGGAATATAAATTCGTCTCATACATTTTCCATCAATAATTCACCTCCAAAGAATAGTTTATATTTTAATCGTATATCACCATCATCGCATACAAGAAATCATCGATACGCATGTGAATATACATCCCAACTATTAGATTGGCTACGATTGCACAATTGTCGTATTATTAACGATAATCGTGCTCTTACATTAGAATTATCAAAAGTTAAACAATATGCTGAATTAAAAAAATGGAATATTAAAGTGCCCAAAACAGCTGTAGTTTGTAATGTAGATATAATGAATTCAACAACATTTGATCAAAAACAATTTATTCAAAAATTAAAAGAGGCAGCAAAAATAAATTTTTATGATGAACAAACGGGAAAATGGACACAATTTATCACTAAACATAATCGAGCTGGAAAAGGTCTTGGTGTTCATTTATTTACAAATGATGTAGAATTAGAAAAACATTTTTTAACATTATTCAATGAACTAAAAGAAAATGGAGTCAAAAATGTTGAAGAAGAATTATCAATCGATGGCATTTATTTGTTACAACGATTTATTAAATCAAAAGAACATACGATTAACCGTGCTGAATTTATCGGTTACAAGAATATGTATGTAATTCAAGTAGATACCTTGCAAGGATTTCAATTGTGTCCAAGTGATGCATGTCGAAAACAACAACAACAAGATAAAAATTTAGTTAAACAAAGTGTTGATACAATTCAACATGGTTTCGATATTCGTGATCCAAAAACATTAACAAATAAAGAAAATGAATTAATCCAAAGTTTAGAAGGATTTTTACGTAAACATGAAATTGAAATAGCCGGTATTGAATATATTGAAGACAGTGAAACTGATCAATTGTACGTATACGATATTAACTGTAATACAAATTATAATGTTGCGGCAGAAAAACGTTTTTATGCACAAATGCATGGTGTAGTACGATTAGGTGAATATTTTCAAAAACAATTAGAAACTTTGTAAAAATTTATTTTTTCTTAATAAAACTTTATTAAAACTGAAAATTAGTTTTCACATATATCGCTTATGAGAAAAAAGTCTAAAGTTACAAATTGTTTTTTAGAACTAGGTAACTAGAACTTAATTGATAATGTTGATTCTAAATATGAGCATCGGAGTTGTCCTTAGGCTTTTGTTGACCGGTTTTCTGAAACTGGATCTTCAGAAAACCAGGGATCAAGTCCAGAAAGCTTTTCTGAATCAGCCATTTTGTGGAAGGACACAAAACTGTCTATGTTCTATAAATTTTAGTTTTTCAAAATATCATTGAACAGTGCTATGATTTTTGCAAAAGCATCCTATCGCGACATTGTTCCATCAAAACTAGCGTACCTACTCGTTTGGGAAATTTTCCTACGCTGTTGGTTCTTTTTTTGCAAAATTAAAACTTATAGAACATAGTCAGTTTTGTGTCCCTACAACGTGGCTGATTCAGAAAAGTTTTCTGGACTTGATCCCTGGTTTTCTGAAGATCCAGTTTCAGAAAACCGGTCAACAAAAGCCTAAGGATAACTCCGATGCTCATATTTGGAATCAGCATCATCAATTACATATAGTTCACCTAGTTTCATCGAAAAAAAAACGATTTGCACCTTAGGGTCCTTCCCTCGTTAGACAGACCAGTCTTTCAGTTCGATCAGTCTTTTTCTAACTTTCAACTGCCGAAAGTTTCGTTAGAAAGCTATCTTAGCAACTATAAGTCAGATGTTTCTCCCGTAAGTGTTAGCCTTAGTTTTAAAAGAAAAGTCCAGTTAAACATTTGATTACGGATAAGTCTTCGAAACGGCGTTTATCGCTCACAGAAAAGTGGCATTTTCGATACAAAGTTTGGAGAAAGGGTGATGAGTATAATGACCGGTAATTTTGTCTAGTAAAGGACAGATTTTCTTCATCCTCCTCTTAATCGAAATCTTTGTAGAAAAGTCTTTTCTGATCTATGGTGATGCCTAGTATGTATTATAGATTTTAGGACTCCTAGTAAAGCTTTTAATGTTTGAACAAAGCATCGCTTAGAGATAGAGGAGGATGTCTCATATTAACCAGAAATGCTAGTTCTATAAACGAGAGCTATTTTAATTCTGGTATTTCACTAAAATATCAGCGTTCCAAAAAATCAGTTTTTCAGACTATTTAGAAAACTTTTTCAAAACTCTCAGAAGTTTTTAATAACCTATGATGCGACAGTCTTAGCACAAATTAAAACTCATCTTTCTCTATTGAGAGCAACTTGCTTTTTAAATCAAAACCTGAGTTTTGGAAGCTAAGCTTTTCATTTCTTTTTAAAAGTTTTACAGGATATTTTGTTTCGGAGTTACAGATGTTTCTCTAGGATGCTTCAAAATACTATTTTGTACAGTGAGAAAAGACTATTCTTTTAAAGAAGATTTTTGGTAATAAATGTTTATCTGAGTGCCAGATTGTAGAGCAAACGATTCTCTACAAAATGGTACGTCGCACGGTCTCATGTGATCAGAGGAAAGGATGCTACATGTATTCTATCAGAAGCCCCGAATCATGTAACGCTTGAAATTAACAAAACGAAATTTAGAAAAAATAAAGCTTTTTGTAAAAAGATGTATAATTTCTTTTCGAAAAGTTGTACAAGATCGTACAATACGTCATTTTGTAGAGATAATTATGCCCTACAACTTTGTAATCCAATAAAAAAATCAACAGCTTATCTGCTCCGGCTGTATTAAACGTTTTAAAAAGCCTGCTTTTTTCCTTTGTACAAATAGTATTTTGAAGCATGCTAGAGAAACATCTGTAACACCGAAATAAAATATCCTGTAAAATTTTAAAAGATAAATGAAAAGCTTGGAAAATGTAGCTTCCAAAACTCAGGTTTTGATTTGAAAAGCAGATTGCTCTCAATAGAAAGATGAGTTTTAATTTGTGCTAAGACTGTCGAGTGCTTTTAGTTAGTATACAGAAATATTACGATAACTGACCTAAAAAGAGATATACGAAAAAATACGTACCTGCCGCTAGATCAAAGAGGAACTGCGCACAAGTTTTAATGACATGCTTGTCCTGCTATATCACGATAAACAAGGTAAGTACTTACTTGATCAAACCGTCGGCAGATAATTAATAACTGAGTTTTATCTGAAACAACGATAACCGTGTCTAAAATTAGAGTAACGCTCAACTATATAAGCTACATTATAAGCTACATGTACAGATATTTTTTTTCCTGTCTTCAGAAGTTCTTCCTGTATGTACCAGCTGTTAAGTATCACGTGACCATTAATTATCTCGTAGAGCAAACAGCTAAAAAGTTCTATAAAATGTGGAACTAATCACATGATGATTAAAATATAAATCGAACTAGAGAGCCAACTGCCCTACTGGAAGATTGAAAAATCGGCTGAGTGGAACAGAAAACAGGCGAAATAAAATTAGAACATCCAGAAAGTCATAACAGTTTGACTTTTATCAAGAAGAATGTACATCGCTATATCAACTGATTCATTATCAGATCATATATTCTACTATAGCTTTCATCATATCAAGCACTGTAACGTATATTCACTATGAAATGAATCACCTGACGATCAATTATATCATAGGAAAAACGATAGAGATGTCTCAAAAATATGCTCATTTTGTGACACTAATTATATAATAACTAAAGCAAATATCCGAAAACTAATTTCAGATGTGTCATCTACGCCGTCTCTACTTTCGAATCCTCTTTTCCCGAAATCTGTACGATCAGAGATAACCGAGATGGCTGGCTCGAACGTGAAAAAGATCTAGAAAGGAAGAACATTTTTACTAGGCAACGCTCGGAATGAAAAGCAGTAAGTCTCCTATCATTTCATTCAGTCGACTTAACTAGTTGCCAACTACCCTGCGGGGAGACTGGAAAGCCGAACGAGTGAAACGTCCTTTAGAGACATTTTAGACACCATATGATTCGCTCAGATAGGTTATATGAGTCCGTTAATCCTGTTTTTACTTAAGGACAATAATATAAATGCATTTTCTTAAGCCGACCGAGTGAAATCCGAGAAGGCTTATTTACGTCGACTGAGTGAAACTCAAGGAGACTTATTGCTTTTCATCCCGGCGTTGCCTAGTAAATTTCTTCTTTCTTTTCACACTGTGTTTTCTCGTTCGAGTTAGCCACTCGTTCTCGGTTATCTGTGTGTGGGAAATAATTATCAAGGAAATTGAAGCACAGCAAGTGGCCAGACTGTACACTTCACCCACCTTTCTCTTCTACAGTGCATGGGTTTTCACAAAGTTTTAGAGTTTTTATGGAGTGTGTTAGTCATTGAGGAATTAGCATATAATTTACCAATGTAGCAGTCAGCCTTTTGGAGCCAACGGTTTTGTCTGCCACGTTCTAGATGCTTGATAAACGGAAACGCATTCCTGGATACATTTGCATTGAAGTGGTGTGAATGTAGTTCTGAAACAATTCAGGCTATGTTCTTGTAGACTTTTCGAATGAATTTATTAAGAAATATTTTTACCCGTTGTTCAATCGATTGAAATTTACTTGTCCACTGGATCTCATTATTTGTAGCGAATTTTTCTACGATGTTTTAATGCATGAACGTAATATGGAGGTAGAATAGGACGATACCGTTTGGTGAGATGAATTGTTGTGCATCTTTATTGTAAAGCAACGAGAAATCGTTCATATAATTTTATAAATCCGGTAGGTTCATCTTTCATCACTGAGCTAAATTATACCAGGAACTTTGCTTTAGTTCTAGAATTAGTGAAATCATTTGCCAGTCTGTTGTTTAACCACTAAATTCATTCCGTTGATTTAATTTTAATGATGTGATATGCCAATGGACTGGATAATGATCTGTCATTGTGAAAATCTCGTCTGGCATGGCCAATTCCGATGACTAGTCAACTGATCAGCCACTCGTTCTCAGCTATTCCTAATCGTATAGATTTGGGACAAAGATCAATAGAAAGGCTAAGAGCTGTAGACGACATATTTCAAAAGTAGTTTTCCGATCTATCTTTCAATTAACATACTATATGGGACATACTATAACCTAAGCATATTTTCAAGGACTCTACCGTTCTCCTATGCAATAATCAATGGTGACGTGACACTTCATATACATTTAGTATGAACAGTGTGCTGTAACTCATTAAGTGGTCACATGCTACTTATCAGGAAGAGGGAAGAATACCCCGCCTTTCAGCTACCTTGCGGTATAGAGTACTGTCCGGAGAAAGTTTCGTAAGTCCGATGTCTTCCCTACAACTAATACTGGCTGTAGCTCTAGACAGAATGTCAGCCTGACTCAGAGTTCTTTCGCTCAATCGCTTGAGCTCCCTCTGCACACTAACTAACCACATACTAGCCACGAGGGCTGGTGTATGTCACAACGTAATTAGCATACTATCGGACGGGTGATCCGAGGCAAACAGCCGCTACTGACTTACCCAGGATCATCTCATGTCCTGTGGCGTCGAGGCTCGAACACAGTGCGTATTAGTCTATACTCCTGTATAACGGGTGGCCCATAAGAATGACGATCTTAGTATTTCGTCTCATGCAGTTTTTATTGCTCAGACCTGCCTTTTTTTCAAAAGATTCCGCATTCAATTCTCTACAAAAAAAGTGTGAAAAGAGTTCCTACAAAATAGAACCGTGAAACTCTATGTGGTGAATATTGGTGTGGTCTAAAAATGCCCTTTTTCAAAGTATGTCTATCGTTCGTTGCGTTTCACGTCACCATATGACTAGATATAAAAAGATTGAAGATGTCAATTTGTAGCTCTCGAAAAGCCCTATCAGCCGAGCGACGATAGAAAAATTCTAACTTTTAAACGTGTATGAACAGAACTTTTTCCTTTTTTTCTCACACCGATGTTTTTTTGGATCTGTTATTGGACTTCTCTGTAACCTTTATGCGGTTAGCTCAAAACGTAACTTTTCACAGTCGAATCTTTGCCAGTTCGAAGAAAAATTCTCTTTCTAT